CCCTGAAGACAGGGGCCGGAGAGATGGCTCAGTGGAATAAACCCTTCCCTGGCAAGCACAAAGGCCTGAGTTCAATCCCCAGTTCTGCCAAAAAAAAAACCCTGAAGACAGAACAGTGCCATCTCCCTAAAACACCACGAGAAGAGAACTCTTGAAAGGAGAAGAAAAGGAAGAGGAGTACGCCTTCACTGAGCTACAGGATGTCACCACGCATCTTGACACCGTGTAACGAGTTTTAGAAGGAAAGAAAGTAGTTCAAGACATAGTGGGGAAATATACACCAGGTCTGCTGAAAACTATAGCTTGCAGATTAGAACTCGCCAAACTCTAAACAGAATGAAGCATGAAGAAAACAATACCAAGGCTCAAAAATCAGATTGTTGAAACCATTGGCAAAGAGAAAAGTCTCAGAAGCAGCCAGAGACAAGAGTGGTGCTTTACATAACAGATGAAGAAGTACGTATGAAGTATTTGAGACTTGTCATCAGAAGCCATGCGTGCCAATGACAGCGAGCTCTGCGTCACCTCGGAGCTCTGCCTGCACAGATGAGCGTTCCAGAATGGAAGCAAAACACTGGCGTCGGGATAAACAGTGGCTCAGATAATTTGCAGGCGAGAACTTCAGGCACAGTTGTCCTGGCAGCGTGACAGTGACATCAGATGGAAACTCGCGTCTACAGAGAGATAGAGAGCACTGGGAGCAGTAAATATTTGAATAGCTGTACAAGCCTTTCTCTTTACTTGAGAATCTTTGAAAAGATTCTTAAAATACAAAAGTAACATATTGTGGGATTTATAGCATAAATAGAAACCTGAGGAAGGGTATAGCTAATAAGCTGAAGGAGGAGATGAAATGAAGTCATGAAATTTACCAAACATGGCAGGAGAAATGGAAATGTAAGCAAGGATCAGGAGAGAAAGTGGCAGACAAGTGGCAAGGGAATGGATTGACATTACAGGTCTATCAGCAGTCACATAAAATAGAAGAGGTTAAGAATGCCAGTTAGAAGCACTCCATTAGGATTTTTAAGAGCAAAATTATGTGCTGTCTACAAGAAACTAACATTGAATAGAAAAATAAAGGTTAAAAGTAAACGTGAGAAAAGATACTCTGAGATACTAATTTTAAGAAAATTAGAGTCCAGTATGAAATCAGAAAAGTGGATTTCAGAGCAGGAACTATGAAGAATATTCCATGATGTAAAATAAGTCAGCTGTAACAGATGTGTAGGCCTCTGGTAACAGAGATGAAGGAGTATTTGAACAGAAAGAAGTAAACAGACACTGGCAGCTGGAGCCTTCAGTGTGCAATTCATTTGAGCCGTAGTCTACCGCAAGAGGCCTGCTTTATCCCAGCCTGTTTTCACCGTAATGTTTTCCTTGCAGTTGGGAGTTACGCTCTCATGAGCCCAGGGAGTGTTCCCGCCAGCCCTGATCATATAGTGCTGATGGGCACGTTCTAAGTCCCAACAACCAGGACTGAGTAAAGCGGCGTTTATTGGTGCTTATTAACCACCGAGTATATGTAGGTGCTAGTGTCCCACGGGTGCCTTAACAGGCCCGCAGACTCAGCCACTTACGACAGCCAGTCTGGGTTGGCAGCTCTGGAGGGCAGAGGGTGTTAGCGGCCTGGGCACCCGCGGAGGCTCCAAGGGTGACGTGTTCGGGGATTCCAGCCCTGAGAGCCTGTCTGCACTCCTTGGCTCATAACTCCCTTCTGAAGAAGCAGAAAGGACGGTATTTCGATAGAATATTTGAAATACAGAATTTATCATGTGGATAAAGCCACTCTTTAGATTGTCCAAATAAAACTGTAAAAGTAAATTTTTAAGAAAGAAAACAAGTTTCAAGAATTTAAATCCCCTTGATAATTCTAAGAAAAACTAGTTTTTCTCCTGCTCTATCTAGGTATGGATGAGGGAGAGTG